TTTTGAAAACAAAGTCTTGCCTGGAAGTGCCTTGAGATATGTAACGTTTAGTGTGCGTTACAGACATCTGCCATGGCCCACTTGAAAAGAAAAAAAAAAAAAAWTCCCAAASCCAGAGCTGAGCCCATGGGTTTTCATTCCCATCATTTTCATGCCAAGGAGCACAATGCTCCCCGGCAGACCGCGCGSTCCTGCGCTAACACGATTAGCCAGGCAGATCCACCATCCGCATCCGTCACCCCCAACGCTTGGTCAACTTTGAAAAGTTCAGCAGCTCAACAGGTGAGGCCATGAAACCTGATCACAACAGACAATGTCATCCCCCCACAGCGTCGTGCTGGGAAGAACTTGTCACGTGCGTCATATCAGGCAACATGCTTGAAACAGAGCAGTGCACTGAAACCCCAGCAACACGAATAATCTTTGCCATCTGTTTGAACAGCTCAACCCTCCTCAGATCTAAAGGAATGATCCCATGCAAACACAAGGGCCTTGCTGACTGATTATAGCAGCCCAAGCCTCCTTTTTGGGGGCCATTTTCCTCCAAATGTTACACAGCGGCTCAGGACATGTGGTGAGGAGCCACKGCAGTGGCCAAGGGGGCACTGAACTCCACGCACATTCTGAGGGACCATTCAAAGTCCCTGCTTGCTTAAGCACAACACCATGTGAGGTCAATAGTTGAGTTTAAAATTTTTTTCATATCAAGAAAAGAAAATCTCAATACTAAAATTGTTTGGCAAAACCTTCCCAGAGAACACAGCTGTCCTTTAGGAGATGCTTGTTCCAACACAGCACAACTCATGGGAATGCACTGGAAGAACCRGTCTTTGCTCGGACGCAGTCATTTCCACCCCAAGTCCAGTTAGGACAATCTGGACTGTTCCCAAACGTCCTGGGGCCAACCTACCATGTGGCACACAAGAGAAACCAGCACATTAAGTTTTGCAAACACCTGGTTCTGTCCATGCTGCTATGTCCATGCCTCACTGGGGAGGCAATTAAGCAGCAGGTATTAAACCTTCACTAAGGTGAGTCTATGGTCAAACACAGGGGCAAATTCCTGCCTTGCTCAAGATTTGGTTCATCAGGGCTTTCACCCTGAAATTTTAACCAACATTTCCTTATTCTTCCCTTGCTCCCAAGCCAGGCTAACTGCAAGCACCAGCTTGCACCCCCACATATTCCTTGGGGAAAAAAAGAAAAAAAAAAAAAAGGAAATTCCTCCCCATTCAGGGATTGCTGTCAAGCAGCACTTTGCACATTAAGGTCCAAGCAATTTGAGAGTCTACGAAATGCATGTTTGAAACAGTTTATCACACACCACCAGAACACAGGGCCTGATCCTGCTGATCCAAATCACCCCGTCTCAGCAAGGAGAAGGMATTAAGGCAACTTAGGAATGGTGGGAAGACAAAGCACCAGCATTTTAGGAATTTTCCATAAGAAAAAAAGAAAGAAAAAGGACAAGAGGTCTCCCTGGTGCACTGCTAGAGGCAGAGGAGCTGCTGTCGCCGTTACAGCCGGCACAGCCACGGCACAGGGGCTCCCAGCAGAGAGCTACAGACTCGAAATACAAACCAGTGATGTTGAGTAGGAGCAGCCCAAAGGAAGAGGGACTGGGTATTACAGCCCCTTGAGCTGAAAACAATAATAAAAAAAAGATAAAAACCCAAAACACATAACACTGATGACACGATCTTTTTTTCTTACATTGCTTACAGGACAAAAGGCTTTCAAGTCCCTAGGACATTTCAAAATTCATCATTGTTGAATCAAATGAAGAAAATAATAAAGAAATTCAACAATTGGCTTTCTAGCTTGCAAGAAATATTTCTTTCCTCCCCACCAAGCCCTACAGTAAACCCCAAAGATTACAATCYCAGCAGGCTGCTCAGTCAGATCCACAGCCTGTGTGCATGTAGCTGAAGAACTCCCTACTGCTGCAAAGAGCAAACTTCTATTCAAAAATTCAAGGCGTTTCATAAAATTAGTTTGCAATACTGACTGGATCCCATTTCTCCTCTGTCATGGTACATATTTTCACTAGAAGCAGTTAACATGCTGTATTCGTTACTTGGGGGAAATCCTTCAACGTGCATACAGAAGTTATTTCCACCAAATTTTTGTTAACTCACTATTGAAAAAAAAAACATTTAATTTTTCCTGTTTTCCCTCTGCTTTTCAGGAGTGGTAGTCAGCATCACTTGATGTTGTTCTGCCTTCCACACAAAGGAAACAAACCAAWAGAATTCATTTCACTTGACAGAAAATAGAGCAAGGAACAGGTTTGTGTTCCCTCCTTCAAAAGTTATTTTTAATAGATGAAAACTTCATACAGAGTTAAGAAGTTAAAYAGGATTAATCGCAAACACCCCAAAAACAGAATTCATCAAGCACAACAASTAAATCTGTGATGCCTCTGCATTCTGAAAATCTGAAAAAGAAGATTTTGGATTGCAGAAACAACTTAAACAAAAAATCCTAACAAATATGAACAAATTTAGCCAGTTAGCTAAAATATAGTTGTAATGAGACGTGGGTCAAAAATTCTATCTTCTTCTTTTCAAAGCCAGGAAATTTGATTTACACTGCACTCTGGGTGCTGAGGACACAGTAACTACCCCAGTTCCAAAGTTCAGTTGATTTGAGCAAAAGCATTTGAAAAACAGAGACGAGGCTTGCCCAGCTCACTGCACGATGCTGGCACCATGAACTTTTTACAGCATCTTTAATCCAATTATATTGGACAAGAAAAATTGTTAACAAGAAAATACAAGCACATCTTCTTATCAATACTAAGATAATAAATAAAATCCTCATTATGTCTGGGAGAAATAAGCATGTTCTTRAGGAGTGCTGAGAAGCCAAGATTCAACAAAGTCAGCAAGAGATTTGAGTTACTACTATATAGGATCTGACTTCTAATGCCAGAATTAACAGGAACAAACTTCTGCATCTATTTCTAATTAAGTTTTAAATAACACAAAATATATAACAACTTGTCTGTTGGTTTTCATCCTTCCCAAACTATTTTGCATGATTTARTCCCCCCTAACTGACCCAGATCCCAATCCCGCAGAAAGCCAGACACACTCCCATCTTTGGTATGAATCACACGCTTACAGCACTGCAAGACTTACAGCATCACTTACTCTTGCTGCTTGAGAGCATCACCATTCAGACCTCAAGTTTTGTTGKATTTCAGCTAAAACAGCCCTTTTGCAAAGATACTAATGAAAAAATACAATGTGTTTGCAGGAATGGGGCCCACACTGCTTAAAATTCAGCAGCTGATAAGGTGAAACTTTAGGAAGTTAAACACAACTTTGATACCTCTTCTCCAAATTTAAAAATAATGTGTATCCTTTAAATAATGGTTTTTACCCACTACATCTGGGATAACAGATGAACGCAAGCATAAGCATTATTCTCTCCTTCTCCCCTTCCACCTCTTACTTGTAAAAGATTAATCAACCATTTTATGGTCTAATTTAGGTGCCTAATTAAAAACAGAGTTCAACACGTACAACACCATTTTGCTAATAAATCCTGACAGGTCTTCTGCTCTGTTATATGCAAGTTCTCCTTCAAAATGCGAGGTTCATACTTTTTTAAACTCAGCTTAATTTATAGAGGTTCCATTTGGGCTTCAGTGGGACGACATGCTAGTTCCTCCACAGAGATGACAGAATTTCCTAAAAYGAAACAGCTTTCAAAAATTACTTCCTCCTCATGAGATCTTATCCTGCACTCATTTCACTAACTGCTGAGGGATGGCAACATTAAAAAAAGGGACATAAACCTAATCGGACTTGCCGGGTGGGAGTTACAAGACTACAAAGAGGTTGCAATTCATAACTTCACAGCTCCCATCTAGCTTCAAAGTTTCCATATCTGCTCCTTTAGCATTCCTGTAAACACTCAGTAGAAAGACATATTCAGAATGCTCCTGATAAAGGAACTTGAATGGGAAAAGAATGAGAAAGGCACCGAAACGGGTCTCGCCCATCGCTCTCGCCCCTCGCTCGGTGTCCGATCGCGCTTCTCCTCCGCAACCACCGCCGCCCGCTCCGCCGAGCTCACCCGCACACAGACATCCCGGGCTGCTCCTCGCAAAACCGCTCAGAATTATGTCCATCCTTACAGGATACAAGCCAGAAATTTAAAATTTTCTCCCAATCCAAAGGGCTCATCCCGTTCCCGACACTTTCGTTACCCAGTGCACCCCACACCGCTCCAGCAGTCCGGCGCCGGGCTGGCAATCGCGACCGCAGGCAATCGATCAGCTCCAGAGATGATTACTGGATAGGAGAAAGTTAACGGAGACGGAACGCAGGGAGCGAGCGAGGAAGTTTTATCTGGAACGTGAAGCTGCCGCTTGCCAGTCCTGGCTGCCGCCGCGCTCCCAGAACGGGTCAAATCCCCTCCAAATTCTTAAACGGGTCAATTCCCTCCAAATAGGAACCCTCTCCCCCTCCCCTCCAAAAAAAGGGAAAAAAAGAAAATGGGTCAAATCCCCACCCCAAGTGGTATTTAAAAAACCCAAACGGGTCAAAACCCCGCAAATACGCGGTCGCTGAGCGCACCGCCCGCCAGCTCATGCATTCCTCAGCAATACCCTGAGCTGGAGAAAATATAAACGATCCAGCAAAAGACCTGGAAGCACAGCAGAAAAAGAGTGTTAAAAATATTAAATTAATATTTAACCTTTATTATAAAGATTAAATAAGGTTTTGCTCGCGTAAAACCTGCAGACGCCCCGTCGCCGCCTTGGGCTAACGGGAAGCGCAAGTTGCGCGCTGGTTTTATAATATTTTTAGGGTTGGGGTTTTTTTTCTGGGGGGAGCATTTAGCGGAACATTTACTCTTCGTCCCGGGCGCTCCCCAACCTGCTCCGGAGCCCGGGGCGGCTGCACCCCCGTAGCGGGGCGGCGAGCGCAGGACGGCGGGGATCTCCCTCAGCCCGTCCCGCCGCGGGGCCGCTGCCCGGCCCGTACCTGTACCAGGCGAGTCCCCGCTCGTAGTTGCGGTCGAAGAAGTGGGGCTCGGCGCCGACGGCGCGCACGTCGGGGTGCACCCGCAGAAACTCCAGCAGCGCCCGCGTCCCCCCCTTCTTCACGCCGATGATGATGGCCTGCGGCAGCCGCTTGGTGCCGGAGCCGTTGAAGAAGCTGGACATGGGGCTGCCGGCGTCGGACGCTGCCCGCTGCTCCTCCAGGCTGTTCTCTTCGCCCGGCTCCCCCGGCAGCAGCGGCTGGGCTGCGCGGKGCGGCGCGGGTGACCCGCGGGCCGCCAGCCCGGCGCAGGAACCGGCGCACGAGTAGAACATGTAGAGCCAGAGGAAGAGCATGATGGAGAGCAGCAGCAGCCTCCGCCTCAGCGGCGGCAACGCAACGGGGACATCGAGGCAGCGGTTCAAGCGCTGCCCCATGTGCCCGCGGGCGCACCGGGATGCATGGCTGGAGCCCGCCCGGCTCGGCTCGGCTCTGCCCGGCGCCTCATGGGCACTCGCGGAGCCTCAGCATGCCCCCATCGCCGCCGAGCACCCGGCGCTCCCGCCCGCCCAGCGCCGTCTCCCGCCGGCGGCAGCGCAGGCAAAGGCAGCGCTGGGGCGGGGCGCGGGTTCGGGGACGGGCAGCGCTCTCAGCCTCTCACAGCCGCGCTCCTCGCATAATGAGGGAGGGCCGGGCGAGGGCGGGCAGGGGACGGGCTGGTTGGCTGACAGGACGGGGGTGGTGGCGGATCGCACCGTCGGGGCAGCGGCTCCGTGCCCGCCGTGGCCGCGAGGTTGCCGCGGATCCGTTCCGGCACCCCCGGGGCGGGCCCCCCGTAGGGGTTCGTGTGCTGGACATCCCCTTCCAGGCCGGGATTTGCCATGCCTTACCCACCACGGCTGCAGGGAATCGCCAGCTGCGGGGCACTGAGSACATCATGCTGTTGGGGACATCTCAGTCATTTTTTTCTCCTCCTTATCCCCCAAATACTTGAATCATAAAGTCTCCAGGGAGACATATTGTTATCTTTCAGTTCCTAAAGGGGCATTACTAAAAATATGGGGACAAACCTTTTAGCAGTCTAGGGATAATGGTTTTAAACTGACAGAGTGAAGGGTTAGATTAGATATTTAGAAGAATTTTTGTACAATGAGGGTGGTAGAGGATTGGCTCAGGTTGTCCAGAGAAGCTGTGGATGACYCATCCTTGGAAACATTCAAGGCCAGGGGTGATGGGGCTTGGGACAACCTGGTGTAGCAGAAGGTGGCCSGTGCCCATGGCAGGGGGCTGAGTTAAATGACCTTTCATGGTCCYTTTCAACCCAAACTATTCTGTYACTCTGTGATTTGCCTGTTCTTTYGATGAGCTGGCTTCTCAATGAGCCGCACCTTCTGTTGTGCTGTATTTTCTGAAATCCCTGCCTGTACAAATCCTGGCGAGATTTGCCATGGTCCACATKATGGGAGTAACACACAGAAACCAAAACAAACACATCAGCTCCTGAAAGGCAAACTAAGAGCATCTGTCTGAGCAGATCCTTCCCACAAAACCATGAGCTCTGGGACCCTTCTTTCCAGGACTGGATCTCTCCAGTGTTCTCCAGGGATGGGGATTTTGCACATTCCCTGAAAGTGCTTTAGCCAGTATTGTYCCAGCAATCATGTAACTTACAGCCCCAATGCATTTGGGCAGGTTTTCTATCATGTTTTTTATTAAAACATGCATAAATTTTTGTACATAACTTGCTGCTTTCAGAGCTTTTCCTTTGAGGGGAGAGTGAGGGTTTGCTGAAACCTCTTAATTTTATTTTGAGATTTCCCCCTAAACAAGAGGAGCATCCTTTCACCATGAGAGCTGTGATTTTATGTGTCAGAAGCAACAGCATGATCCCAACATTTATGTATCAGCTTCACTGTTGATATATAAATTTTGCGAACTGTTCCGCAAAAATGAATTGTTTCCATCACAYTGGCTGTGGTGTGAGAATCTTGTAAAATAATCTGAAACTACAAACTGRAGTTTACAAACTAATTAAACTAAGCAGATTGAAGAGGGGAATTAAGACCCTGAGAGGTGTATGAGTTCTCTAAAAGTTGCGCAGTGGGTTAACACAGAGCTTATACCACCCAAATCTCCATCAGTACCAGTGTCACTCGTCCCCGTTCTCCCCAGAACCAGGTATTTGCAAAGCAGATTTTAGGATGACWCAAGAAGAACTTTTGTACTTAAGCCACAGAGTAAACAGTGAACAATTTCAACATTTCTTTGCTGTGAGATAAAATAAGTGGCACTGATGGGTTCTCTGTGTGTGAAGGGTGATCCCAACCAAGAAGAGATGAAGGTGCCAAGCTGTGGCAGGAGGAAGGAGGAATTGCTTTCCAGTTTCCCTCTGTGTGCTGGCAAAGCTCCGCCAGCTGGCCCAGATGGGTAATTGTGAAGAGAATTACAGAGGACATTTGCAGGCAATGCATGAATCACAGCTGTGGGCAGCAATCGTTCCACGGGTACTTCTCCTGCACCCAGGTTTACTCACCTCTGCACTTGGTGTTTTGCACAATKCCAAACAGAGTATCTGCTGCTTCCACACACGTTCCTGCACCCATGAGCTAACAGGGAAACCCTTYAGATGGAATAATTCTCCTTGTTCCYTACATCCACCAGGACCAGCCAGGATAACATCAACAAAATGTCACAGAAAGTTTGGTTTAAGCCTTTAATATATGTCAGCTGTAGCTTGTAAAAATTAGATTGGCCTTTTAAGAAAAATAGCCCCAAGATAGGTTTTACTGTAATTGTATCTTTAACAGTTGGATGTCAGGAGATTTTTCCCTAAGAATGGCAAATGGGTAAGTGATCAGAAACAGYATCTATGCAAAGGTAGGTCAGGAGGAGGGCTGGGGTCTCCCTGGAGCAGGGAGTGTGGGTGAGAGAGGTTTTGGCAAGTGGTTTAGGAAGCAGTCATGGCTCCATCCTCCAGAGTGGCACATTGCCTCTAGCTGGAGCCCACACGGCTGCTTGGCAGGACACAGATCTCCTCCACTCCTGCTGCCATGTCAAGAGCAGGGCTTCACTTGGGCTCAACACTTGCTCTTGGCTCCTGGAATTTGCTTAGCATGCCACACACAGCAATTGTGGCAGGAGCATGTGTGATGCACCCGTGGATAGGGCGAGAAACATTTTGAAGAAACAGAGTTGGAAAGAAATGGGCACAACCAGAAATGAACATCTGGGTTTGGTCTGTGCCCTGGAATCAGAGCAGTGGCTGTCTTGTTGGCTGGTTAGTCAGTAACTGAGTTGCATCCATACCGTCTTCATATCCCATTTCTTGATGATTATTGATTACACAGATGGCACTGGGAAGGTGCATCTCCTGACAAGGGGTCACCACAGCACTTCCTGGAGCACTGCTGAGACAGGCCTGGAGAGTTCCCATCTCTGCAAAATGCACTTGTTACAGCAGGGCAGACAGCCAAGAACCCAGCAGGCCTTCAAGTCAAGATGATGGTTGCCCAGAGAAGCTGTGGATGTTCCARTCCTGGAATGTTCAAGGCCAGGYTGGATGAGCTTGGAGTAACCTGGTCTAGYGGAAGATGTCTCTGCCCATGGCAGGGCATTGGAATGAGATCTTTAAGGCTCTTTCCAAWCCAAATTATTCTGTGATTCTGGGATCAAATCCACAGTGAGGACAGAGGAAGTGTCAGGTCTGTCAGGTCACCTCCCCAACATCCACTCTGGGAGATTCTTCCCAGGCCATGTGTCCTACAGATGCAGCCATGCACTTTACAACATTTTCTTGGAGTCTGACATAAGGCAGCAGTTTCCAGTGCTGATCCTGTTCTRTCGGCATGGCTGAGTTTCACCTTGTTGCTTTATCTCTTCTCAATCAGAAAATCTGCATGTCCTTTTAGCAAACATTATTTTTCGGACACTGAAGTGGCCATTTTTGAAATGCTCTGGAATGCTCCTTCTTCTGAAAGATGAAGGCTTCATATACAGCTCTTTGGAGATCTGCAGGAACAAGCCCTAATGGGGTGATAAATAGGAGCACGTACCCAAAATCAAGACAGTGTGCTCTTGGTCCCAATCCAGACAGGATGCAGTTTTCCTGACACAGTTTAAGTTTGGGGGAAAGTAATCCACCATTTCATTATGTCAATCAAGTACATGATCATGGAAAAACGAGCATGTAACTCTAAAGTGCTCTGCTGTATAGTGACCTGGCCAGASAGGAGATGACCAGTCAACTCTACCCCCTTTTTGGGAACATACAGCACCCAGAACACTGAGATGCAGGGCTTCAGTATGAGACTTCAGCATTCCTTGTCCATCCATAAGCATCTATGATGGGATTTTGTCCTTATTTCAGTACCATGAGATGTTTCTCAGTCATGGAACTGTCTCAGTCCTSTCCCCCTTGCAGGGTCCCAGGAAGAGGTCCTGCACTTCTTTATTCCACTTTTTCCCACCACAGGAAATCCTTCTTGCTGTCTTCTCCCCTCGCCTCTGCCACATGTGTCCTGTGCAGTGCACCCTTGTGCTATTCCAGAGCATGCAGGAGCTGAGGATCAGCAATGGATAAATCTTGTGTGTCTGTCTACAGCCTTCTCTCCACTGCACACATCTGCTGAACTTGTTTTAATGTCACAATAGTAGGTAAGAGTTGGGGGAAAGKGATGAGGACATTTGGGATTTTGTCCTGAAAAACACATGTGCTTTAACCGGTAGAGGCACAGTTTGCCATGCATGTTCTTGGATCAGGATTGCTGGACCAGCTGGCAGTGCCATCTCAGCTGCAAGCAGCCAAATGGTGTGACTGGGTCACGCTGGGGGAAACAGGCCATGGTGTGACTGCAGGCACCATCAGTGGGACTCAGCACAGCTCAGACACTGGAAAGGCAAGTGCCCAGGGCTTTATGCAACCCCCGCTCTGCACCCAAGTCCAAGTACCAAATAAAGCCTTAGAGCCCTGAGGTGTGGCTTCATAACCCCACCACTGCCCAGAGACATCCCAGGAATAGCCCAGGGACATCCCAGGGACATCGTTGCCTTTCACACTGTCCTGTTGCATTGTCTTGGGTGTGCTCCCACCAGGGCCATGGGCAGCAATGCTGTACTGATGTAAGAGGAGCTCTTGTTTCTCTTAACCTGAAACCATTTCCTTTCCCCCACTGCMCTCCCTCCCCTTGCTCCCTAATTTGTCCCTGGGGTTTTAATATCTATTTCTCCAAGTGCCACGAGCCAAATTTACTGCTCACATAACTGCACCGACTTCAGTGGAGGAGAGCGTTTAGGGTGCTCCAAGGAGGTATAAGTAGGAGTGATGTGATGGAATTGAGTAAAGGAAAATATAGTGTGACTGTCAAGAAGAGTTTTCTACCAGCGAAATCTATAGACTGTGCAAGTTTCCCATGGGAACAAGCAGAAACCAAGTTGCTGAAGTCATTTTAAACCAGCATAAGAGAATGGGAAATCAGCCCGGTGACTGGCCAGAAGGAAAGGAGAGATGACATAAGGCTATTTCTCTGTCTCTGAGTTCTGTGGCTGCATTGCTTTGTCCATGGAATTATTTTAATGCAACTGGATTCCTCCTTGTTTTGGGTGATGCAATGGCCCTTGCTGCTTTGGA